CTTTTTACTCTCACTTTCTCACATTTTTCAAAGTGTGTGTGAATCAAAGAATTTCTTTCTTTGATTCACTTGATACTTGAAGCCTTCCATTTGTTCTAGCAAAACAATAGTAGGTTCTATGGATTATCTTCATGAGGACGACGTTCATACGATTCTTTTCTTGAATCAACAAGTGAAACTAAAGTATTGAAGGAGCCTCCAAATGTGTGTAAGTATTCTGAATCCTTGTATGGATTTATTATACTATTTTAATGCAGTTTTTATAAACTTGTAAACACTATAACCTGTATGCAGATTTGGGATTAAGCATTTGATCAGATTTTATTTGTGATTGAATCTATGTTTTTCCGCTGCATATACCCGATCACTTGCTAATAAACGTACTCGTCTACCAAGACAATGAACACAGAACCTATAATGACGCTATATCGCATCCAGATTTCGTTAAATGGCTTGAAGCCATGAAATCTAAGATGAACTCCTTATACCAGAACCAAGTATGGTCTTTGGTGGATCCACCTGAAGGGGTAAAACCCATAGGATGTAAATAGCTCTTCAAAAAGATGATTAACATGGATGGCAACGTGCATACCTATACGACATGGCTGGTTGCCAAAGGTTTCAAACAAATTCATGGCATTGACTATGAAGAAACCTTTTTGCCAGTTGCCATGATTAAGTCTATCCGAGCTATGCTTGTAATTGCTCCATATCACAAAATTTGGCAAATGGATGTCAAAACAACTTTCCTGAACGAAAACCTAGAAAATGATGTGTATATGACACATCCCGATGGTTTCGTTCTTAATGGACAAGGTAATAAGATATGCAAGTTGCAAATGTCCATTTATGGACTCAATTAAGCTTTAAGGAGCTGCAACATTTGTTTTGATGAAATTGTGAAAGACTTCAATTTCATCAAGAACGAAGATAAGCCTTGTGTTTATAAGATAGTAAATGGGAGCGCAATTGCATTCTTGGTGTTGTATGTTGATGACATACTTCTTATCGGGAATAATATATCGAACTTGCAGTCAGTAAAGACTTAGTTATCCAAGTGTTTTTCCATGAAGGACTTAAAAGAAATAGCCTACGTCCTCGAAATAAAGATCTATCGTGATAGATCACGTAGGTTACTTGGCCTAAGTCAGAGTACATACATAGACAAGATACTGAAGAGATTCAGTGTAGAAGAATTCAAGAAAGGATTTCTTCCAATGTCACATGGTGTCTATCTCTCTAAGGACATGTGTCCCAAAACACAAGATGAGAGAGATATGATGAAGAGGATCTCATATGCGTCTGCAATTGGATCTATCATGTATGTCATGCTATGTACTCGGGTTGATGTTTTATGTGCATTAAGCTCTTGTAGTAGATATCAAGCGGATCCAAGTGAGCGTCACTAGATAGTTGTCAAGAACATTCTTAAGTATTTGACAAGGACTAAGGATATGTTCTTGGTTTATGGAGGGGAAGATGATCTCTCTGTTAGAAGATACAGTGAGGCTAGTTTCCAAACGGACAAAGATGATTATCGCTCACAGTCTGGTTTTGTATTTTGTTTTAATAGAGCTATAGTGAGCTGGAAAAGCTCCAAGCAAACCATTGTAGTGGACTTTACAATAGAAGCTGAGTATATCGCATTATCCGATGCGGCCAAAGAGGCAGTTTGGATTAAGAAGTTCATCACCAAACTTGGTGTGGTTTCCATTATTGTTGATTCAATAGATGTCTATTGTGACAACAATGGAGCAATAGCTCAAGCAAAGGAACCATGATCTCACTAGCGGTCCAAACACAAACTCAGACGATTTCATCTCATCAAAGAAATGTTGAGAGAAAAGATGTATAGATTTGCATGAAGGTTCTTCACAATAGAAGCATGAAAATCACTTCAGGTCATTTGGTATTAAATACATGAATGATTGGTTGTAGTGCAAGTGGGAGATTGTTATAGTAGGTGCCCTAAAGCCAATCCATTATTGTAAAATTGACTCTTTGTAATAATGTTTATAATCAATAAAAGGCTTTTTATACATTATGTAATTCATATTCATTGTATGTTGTGATGTATGTCCTTAGAATGGTAGAATCATAACGAGGGGATCGAGTGTTTCAAATCTCGATAGCGAGGACCTTATGATCACATATGGTGGTCATTCTAGAAATGTTTGTAGCCCTAGTATTATTCTGACTAAGGACACATATAATACAGTAAGACTATCATAGTGTTGAACTACCCTATCGAAAGACAGTGACTGATCTCACTTGTCAAGGTTGTTTGCTGACAACCTGGTGCAATACGTGGGTGCTTGCCACAGGCGAGTTCATTGGACAAGCCCACTAGAGGATTCCACATAGATGGTAACCCAAGTGTCTGTGGAATAAATCCTTTGACGGATGATGGTGCATTTGATCCTTAGACTTGAGATCACTAGAGCGCCTTATGCACCAATTGGTGTAGTTTGACACTAGCCTAACGTAGTTCTATTCAAGACTATTAGAACGGTAGTGATTGGCTACATCGAGAAGTGTATCAAGACTATGGTGGACTAATAGAGGATTCATCACTCCCGGGTATGGGAGAAATTATCTCATTGAGAAATTCGGTAAATGGCAATGACACTAAATATGTGGCCATAGTGAGATTGAGTTGTAGCTCAATCCAATATATTTTGGTTTTGGCCCAATAATCGAATACAAAGAGATCAAGGATATCTAAGGTTGACACTACTTCTGTACCTCAACCTTGATGAGATAATGTATGATCAAAGGATTTGATTGCACAATAACCATATTGTTGATAGGTAAGCTTTTTCACTGAATCCAAATATATCGGGTGGCCATGATGCCTTTCTAGAGGCCAATCTTGATCTGTATTTAGTGAGATGATTTATTGAGTGTTAATCACAATACTACTCACTACCGATATTACAAGGAGCCTTCAGTCACACACATAGAAGACAAATAAAGAATAAGCAAGTGACACTACAACAAAAAAGGCTTTTTTAGCTACAATTTTTTTAGCGACGATTTCAAAATTCGTCGCCAAAGGTAACTATTAGTGACGAAATATGAAATTGGTTACTAATAGTTTCGTGGACTTTCTAATCCTTGCACGAGATGGCGGGAAGCAAATTGGCGACAGACTTAGCGACGACATAATTCGTCACATAATGTTTTTTACGACGAAAATACAAATAACAACGCCCAAATTTTTTCGTGACGTAACGATATGTCGTCGTGGATAGTTTTTAGAGAAAAAAATAATAGAAAACGTAGTCAAAAGTATTTAGCGATGCAAAGGCATGGTGCCATAAAATGTGTTTGGCGACAAAAATATAGAAAACGACGCCAACGAAGTCTAGCTACGAGGCAAAAGGCCCATCATAATACCTTTTTGGTAACGAAACTATAAAAAATGACGCAAAATCCACTGGCTACATAACAAATAGTTCGTCGGGAAACGTTTTTGGCGACACAAATATAAAAAATGACGCAAAATCCATCTGGCTATGCAACAAATAGTTTGTCAGAAAACATTTTAGGTGACGCAAATATAAAAAACAATGCCAAAAACATATTGCAACGTAATCTATGTTTCGTCATGAAAACGTTTTGGTGTCGATTTTCTTAAAATCGTTGCCATTAGTATGTTAGAATTTAATTTTTAATGTAATTTTATATTTATATGACAATAACTGAAAGTGTAAAACCAATCAGTAATGACAGAAATCAAAATTAAAAGCAGTGTCAATATAAAAAATAATGTCGTAGAAGTTTGACTCTTGAATAACAATAATAAATATTATTAATTCTCAATATCATCTTCAACTTATACATCTTCACTGTCACTGGAAAAATTTTCATTACTCATCTCATTTTCACTATCATCATTTATGAAACTGATATCATCATCACTAACTTTACTACTTGGCTCCACAAATTGAACAACCTCTGGTTCCACATCCATAATACGAAGTTCTTCTTGTTCATTAACTTCGGCATCAATATGAAAACCAGGCTGATGTGTATTCCGGTTTTTAGAGAGAACCGAACTGTTAAAGGTACCAGGTTCCGGTTCGATTGGTCTGACCAACAGGTATGGTTCAGTTCTTTAAACAGTGGATGCAGGTATTCACATCATAAGAATGTGACACATGTAAAACTCAAGGACATGGTCTATCACAAGACAACATTATCTATTTGTGGTTACAGTATTTTAATTGTCTATATATACACTAGGGTAGGAAAAATTACCCACTATTTATTTTACATTGAGTAAAATTATTACTTTAGGATTTCTTAGGTAATTTAGGATTACTCAAGGACATGCTACTAATTAAAATGAAACTAGCAATTACTTTAGGATTACTTGGTGTATATAAAAAACAAAAAAAAATTTGCCTAAAACTTTTCCTGCCCATTTTTTGCCGCCAATTTTTCATTCACAATTCCCACAGTTTTTTCCTTAAAACTTATTCTTACCCCATATTTCACTCATTTTTGCAAACCCTCATAGTCGACCTATTTCCGGCATTGAACAAAAAAGTTCTCATTTCTACGACTCCCGTTTAGTAGACGACGACTAGCTCAGTGACTCTGTGCCTATTCCGATGGAGTTTGTTAACTTCGGTGAGTTCTTGTCGAGGTGTATCCCCAACACCCAAATGTAGGGGTGCTTAGAAAAATGTAGAAACCAATCCAAACCGGGAATTGAAGTGGTTTTTTTGTTATCCGAAAAACTGGTTCGGTTTTGGTCGATAGAAATAGAGAAAACCAAATTTCTGATTTTATTAACAAAAAAGTAAACAATTTTTCGTTAAATTAAAAAAGAAAAAATTTAAATTTAAAAGATTATAAATCTAAAATTCAAGAGAATCTAAAAAACCCAAACCCGGTTAAAAAATAATAATAATAATAATAATAATTTGCTCCAAATGGAAAAACGTTTGAACCCTTAGAAGTAAAAAAAGTCAAACAAAATTACTAGCTCCTAAAATCTACAGTCCTCGTCACTTTGGCATCGAAAGTCCCCAAACCACAAAACCCTACCGCCGATGACGCCATTGCAAATCCACTTCTCCACTCCGGTCGCCACTTCTTCTCCAATTTCTGCCCTAAATCCGTCACTTCTCTACTTGGGCAATTACGTGACCTTCTATGTCGCGTCGTATTCGAAAAAGGAGCTGATTGAACTCAAGAATCGCTTGAACAGATTCGTCAATTAAAGAAATTAATGACAATGGAGATGTTGCTGATGATCATTACCACCGATTCTTGGTAAATGAATGGTTAAATTTACTAATTTTTTACTTACCTGCAACTTCTATTCAACATACATGAATTTCTTATTTATTTTCACAGGAAGATATTGAGATTATGCATTCACTTGGAGTAAATGCGTACCGATTCTCAATTTCATGGTTAGAATTTTACCAAGTATGTTCTTAGTAGCAATTAATTGAATGTTAATGTAGTGAGATTAATATTCAACTACTTGATGATAATGTTCCTGAGCTGTAACAGAAGGCAAATTTGGTGAAGTTAATCCAAGTGGAATCATGTTTTATAATAATATTATAGACCATCTCTTGCTCACAGGTAATATCCTTTTCAATGAATCTATAACTTAAGCACTAGTGTTTTTTTTTTTTTTACAATATTCTTGAAGATGACGAATATGAATTGGTTAAGGCAGGAATTGAGCCGTTTGTGACCATATTCCATTTTGACTTACCACAAGAACTAGAAGATAGATATGGGTCTTGGCTCAGCCCTCTAATTCATTTAACTTCTATTCACACTCTATAAGCTTTTCTGTTTCCCTGAAAAAAAAATGCTCGACTCTATTTTCAATAGGTTCTGAATATATGCCCAGTAACTAAGTTCTACCATTCTCTAAAGGGGTTTCTTCAGTACTTTTGCTTTTAAGATTGCAATACCTGGTTGCTCTAAGATCCCTTAATCCCTTTCTTGTTCATTTAGTTATGATGAATCAGTTTTGTTGGTACAGTATGTGATTTCAATGTTCTTGCGGGGAAGATTTTGTACATTTTGCCAAAATATGCTTCGAGAATTTTGGTGATCGAGTTAATAGTTGGCAACCATCAACGAGCTGAACCTGTTAAGCGAAATGGGATATGTTAGGGGATGGTACCCTCCAGCTCACTGTTCAGCACCATTGGGAAATTGTTCTGCTGGCAACTCTAATGTAGAGCCCCTCATTGTTATGCACAACATGTTACTGTCACATGCCAAGGCTGTTAAGCTATACCGTGAGCAGTTTCAGGTAATAGGATGAGCTTGAATACTAAATTGTGAAGTGCTTATATGGCATGAAGAAGGGACATCAAATGACAGTGCCCAGCTTGCTGGCTTGTTTGAAACCGCTAGAAATGTTGAGATGTCTGAGGTAATTTTGGTTTTTGAATTAATTTTTGTTTTAATCTTTCAGATTTGTTTGTGATTGATTCTTTTTTAGATTAGTGTTAGTGAAAGAAACTGACTCTTAGATTTGTTGCAGCAAGAAGATTGACCTTGATGATAAAAAATTGATCATGACTCACTTATTGGTAAACTTGTTTTTAATTTTATTAATTACAATTTTTTAATTTCTAATATATTGAATATTGTTTTTTTAGTAGATAGTTTGATATTGATTTGAATGATCCTTTAGTCCTTGAGTACCTTAATTAGCTTATGGGTAGGGTTTATTTGGATAATTGTTTTTCACCAAACAAATAATTCAAAGGTTTGAAATATTTATTTTTGAATAATTTTTTATTTAATGTGTATATTGTAATTGTTATTTATTTGTTTTTTTTAATATTAATTGTCTTTTATTTGTTTATTTTTTTGAATATTAGGATCTTTCTTAAGGCCAGCTCTAAGGGGAGGTGCATTTATTCCATGACACTCATTTTAGCAATAAAAGAAATACTTGGATAAATGATGAAGCCAAGGTTCGATATGTAAGTATTATGTAGTGTATTTCATTTATTTTGTATAAAAGTTTATTATATTTTTATATTATATTTATATTATAACCTAATACCTTTTAATTTTTTAATTTATAAAATTACATTGTTTTAATTTATACATTTGTGTGTATGTACATATATATTATTTTTGTAGGAACAAATCGTGGATTGGGTTATGATCCAAAACCACCTGCATCTTCTAAGACTTCAAGGCGAGCCAATCAAGAAGTTTTAGAGGAATTCACACACTTGTGTGAGGAGGTGCAAGAACTACGAGGCATAAGGGAAGAATTTTGCCAATATAGGCAAATGATAGAGAAAATGCAGTAGTTCATCTCAGTTAATATGGGTTCTTGTTCTGATGGCTCACAGACATTCCCGGGCCAATTTACACTAGATCCTCCACAACCTACAACAATTTTAGTTTTCAGTTGTTACTTTTTTATGAATATTACAATTTAGTCAACTTTATATATTTTTAACTTTTTATTTGAAAACTAACATATATAGTTCTATAATATATTTGGCTTGATATATTTGTGTGATTTCAATTAATTACATTTACAAATTAATATTTATATTTTTAGAATTAAATTTTAAAATGTCTTCGATAAATTAAATATTAATTACTTTAGGCGACAACTCATATTTTATCGCACTACATGTTAGGCAACAAAATGTCATATTTTGTCATTATATACTTTAAGTGACGCACACAATTATGACATTGCTATTAACTTTATGCAACAAAAATGCACATTTCGTCGCGGTATATCATAGGCGAGCAAAATTCACATTTCGTCGTAGTCTACATTAGGCGACACAAACATATATCTCGTTGCGGTATAGTGCAGGGGATACACTAGAGAGTACATCACTATTAACTTTAGGCGATGACAGCTAATATTTCACCGGTAAATAGTTTTAGCGACGAAAATGGTATAGGCGACAATTTTTTGGTTTGTCGCCAGATTTAATGACGAATTTTAATAAATTGCCGTCTAAAATAAAGCGCGACATGCCTACTGCGACGATCATGGTGACGATTTTCTTCCATCGCTAAACGTATATAGCAATGATTTCTAGGTTTTTAGCAACAAAAAAATTTGTAGCTAAAGGTCCTTTTTGTTGTAGTGAGAAGAGCATTTTTGTCTTTTTATGATGAAAGTGTATTTTAGTAATCTCACAGTACAATTAGATTTGCTGAGGTGGTTGCCTATATTTAATTTCATATGGAAATTAAAATAAGTGAGATTGTGTGTGTGTGTGTGTGTGTGTGTGTATTTAAATTTTATATTATTAGTTAATATTAATATCTAAAATAATATTGATATTAATAAAAGCAATATAAATTCAAATCAAATTTAAAATTAAAACACCATGTTTGGAATTACCTTGATTTGGTAATGGAATAAATATAATCTAAATATGAAATTAGATAAGACTATTCCATATTAGATTAGGGTTTTAATTGTTCCACTATTTAAATGCAATTTAAAATTAAAACAATAATTATTCAAAAACACAAAACCCTAGTCGCGCTCTCTCTCTCTCTCTCCCAAAACCGTGGACACCCAGAGGTTGGAGAAGTGAATTTTTCAAGTGAAAAATTTGGCACCATTATCCTTGAACCAATCGGTTTGGCTAGCACATCGAACCCTTTAGTGATCGCTGTCCTATCTTCGTGTGGATACCAATCGTTCTTTCCTATCTTGGAGTGGAAGCGATTCAAGTCAATTGAAGGAGCCTCCAAATGCTGGTATGAAACTTTATTAATCGTTTAATATATATTTCATATGCAAACAATGTAAAACGGGTATAAGGATCTTAGGGTTTTTGGTTTATGGATTGGGAAAATTTTGTATTCCACTGCGTTCACTCAATCCATAAACCTACAGAAGAGCACTTGCTGATTACAACATCGCAGACCAGCTTACGAAAGCTCTGTTGCAGCAGAAGCATGATAAGCACCTAGCTTCATTTGGTATTAAATACGTGAATGATTGGCTATAGGTGCAAGTGGCAGATTGTTAGAGTAGGTGCCCCATAGCCAATTAGATATTGTATTGACTCTATGAATCATGTTATTCTAATAGTCAAAGGCATCGTTTATGTTATGTAAATCATATTCCATATGCATGTGATAATATATGTCCTTAAAGTGGTGGAACCATGACAAGGGAATCAAGTAGTGATAAGTCTTAATTGTGAGATCCATATGAGCACATTTGGTGGTCATTCTAGAAACGTCCATATCCCCAGTATTATTTTGACTTAGGGCACAGATAATATAGTAAGACTATCATATCATTGAATGATCCACTAGAAGGTAGTGAAACATCTCGCATGTAAAAGTTGTTTGGTGACAACTTGGTGCGACGCATTAGTGTTTGTTATTCACGAGTTCATTGGACTGGCCGATGCAGAGGATTTCATATAGATAGTAACCCCAATATCTATGGAATACATCCTCTAACAGATGGTGGTGCATGTGATCCTTAAGCTTGAGATCACTAGAGCTCGTGTGTAAACATTGGTGTAGTTTGACACTATCCAAACGTAATCCTATCCAAGGTTATCAGTACGGTAGTGATTGGCTACATTAAAAAGTACACTATAACTATGGTGGGTCGACAAAGAATTCATCACTCTTAGGTATAGAAGAAATCATCTCGATGAGATATTCGGTAAGAGGCAATGACTTTAAATTTGTGGTCATAATGGAATTGAGTTGTTGCTCGTTTGGTATTGGTTTGATAACCGAATCTGAATATGTCAATGTGGTTCATACTTGAAGCTGACATTATTTTTGTACACTAAACCTTGATGAGATATTAAATGATGAAAGGATTGAATTGCATGGTAACCATACTGTTGACAAGTAGTGAATACGTTGAATCCGAATATGTCGGGTGGCCATGATGCCTTACTAGAGGCCAATTTTGATGTGTGTGTAATAAGATGATTAATAGGGTGTTGATCGCGATATTACTCATTGCCAATATGATGAGGAGCCTACGGATTACTCACTTAAAAGACAATTTAAGGAAGATAATAAATTTGCTGGAAAGGTTGTTGCTAGGATCTAATTTCCTAGCGGATTTAATTTGTAAGATTGAATATATATATTATATATATATAATAATATATATATATAATATATATATATAATATATATATATATATGGTGTTATATGTTTTAAATATTAATAATTATTAGGATGAAAAAATAATGAATTAATACCCCTTTAAATACTTTCTTGGGAAATGATTATATCTAATTGAATAATTAGATGGAGGTATTGGAATAATCCAAAAAGGGGAGAATATGTTTTTTTTTTTTTTTTTTTTTTTGGGATAAGTAAGCTTTATAAAAGGGGAAAGAGGATAATGTAACCAAGCGGAGATTAAAGAATACAAAAAATCCCATCTACCACAAGACATGCCCTGAGTTAGGTTCAAAAGTATCAAAAAACAAAAATCATATGCATGAGCATTTACAAAGATAAGTCCATGAACATTGTCATTAACAACACAACAACAAAGCACAAAAGCAATACCCCAAGTCTTCTTCTAGTACAACTAAAAGCTAAGATGCCACATAACCAAGTCTACTTATGCTAATGGGAACCCTTCACAATACAACTTACCATAACATTAGTTCCCATGAGAGGTTTTAAAAATGGACATGGGAAGGCCCCATTACTTGGCAAGTCTTCTATTGTGGGTGTTCTTTATGACATTGTTAAGGTCCATAGCCCTCTCCCTCGCCACATTCTTGATGTACGTAGTTGTGGAGTGTATTAGCATCCTTGCATTCCCCTCCGAAAAACTGGATATTCCATTCTCTCTAAATAGAATAAACGGTGGCCCCTAAACATAACTTCCCGATAGAGTACTTAAGCTTATTTTTTCTCCATCTACATGCAATGTGCTTCACATAATCATTCCAAGGACGGGTAGCATACCCAAGAGGAGTGGGCTCAAGAATAAGGTTCCAAATCCTTTGGGTGAAAGGGTAAGAAAAAAAAAGATGATCGATAGTTTCTTGCCCAAGATTACAAAAACAACACAAATTGCTAGATGCTACACCATACCTCATAAGCTTGTCCCTAGTTTGGAGTCGGTCCTTACACGCCCTCCAAGCGATGATGGAGTGTCATGGGATAGCTTTGGGGAACCAAACAAGGTGATACCACTCCACTCGATCTTGGTGCACACGGGTAATCTACCAAGCCGGTTTAATAGAAAATTTACCGGATGCATTAGGCTTCCAAACAACCATGTCCTCCCCCTCTTTGGGATCAAAATCAATAGAATCCTTCATATTCATCAAAGCCCAAGAATTAGTTGTTGGCTATGTCCACCTCTTCCCGTCCCAAATCTCACAAACCTTTGCAAGGTTATGTAGCCTTGAATCATACACAATACGGCTGCCATATCTATCCTTGGGTGGGCCTCTTGGATGCCAATTATCATGCCAAACATAGGTTGCTTGACCATTGCTGATAACAGATTTAATATGCTCTCTAGCCTCACTTCTAAGCTTCAACATACTCCTTCAAGCCCAAGAAGCATCTATAGGTATAGGAATCTCCCAAAAGCTTTTCCTTGCCAAGTAGGTTGCTTTGATCCACTCAACCTACCCGAAGCCACTATGCATTTGATTTAGGTTCCAAACATGTCTCAACATGGCTGCCTTATTCCAATCTTTGGCTCTCACAATCCCCAACCCACCTTCTTCTATAGGAACACAAACCTCTTCCCATGCTACTTTGGCTTTATAAAAAGGGTAACTTTCCCTAAATCTCCTATAACCCTAAGCTTGCCGCCCAAGCCAAGAAAGAGAGAAAAATTTATCTTTGAAATTTTCTCATCCCTTTTCTTCTTTAAACTACAAATATCACTCTAGTGAATTGATCTTGTGTGGATTATTGTCTTTGTATGGATTTCCATTAGTTCACTTCTAATCTTAAGGTGTGAGCGTTTTCAATGATCAATCGAAGGAGTCATCAACATGGGTATGAAATTGAAACCTTGAATGGGTTTTATTATTTTAAAGCATGTAAATAACATTTAATCTCTTATAAGGATTTTGGGCTTTAGGTTTTAATTGGTAAATTTTGTTTTTCCGCTACGTATTGCCTTGATTAATTCCTAACAACCTATACGTGGTGAGTTGATCTGTTCAAATGAGTAGATATTTTCCTACAATGGATCCCTTTTTTTTATCTCGTCACACCTTATGTCTATGCACGGGGGCCAATTACTCGTGCTTGTTGTCGAGCTCCTCCAATCTCGAGCTTCGTGTTCTACACAAGGATGTGCCCCAGGCTCCTTTGCTTACTTCGAGCTGGGAAATTTTACCACACAACAACTAAAATTTGTTTAAAGTGATTAAAGTAATTTCAATGATGATAAATTAAAATGAAAAATAAATAAATGAATTTGGGGCTAACTT